ACTAGATCCCACAGTTTCCTTCAGATCTGAGACACAAAAGATCCCTTCTTTATCCCCTTCTCTTCCTGCCCGAATACATGTATTTCCCCAGAGTTCTTCTAGGTGAGACTTGTTGAAATCCACTAATGTGTGCCTGGAGCTAGGTCCATGCTAGAAAACTGATAACCTGTCCAGTGCTGGAGTGGAGAGGAGCATTCTCTGCCTGGCACATAAAGGGTGCTCAAGTAATATTTGTGGAATGAATGGAAGCTTAGGACAGAAACTCTCCTGATAGGGAGGGACGCTTTGACTCCTCCTGCCCCCAACGCAGCCTCTTTCCCATGAATGTGCCCTCCGATCCCAGGAGCCCTCTGATCCCAGGAGCCACCCTCACACCTGGCCTTTGGGACGTGCTGCTCCCTGGCTACCTTAAGAGTAGAGTAGGTAGAATCAGAATCCTTTCTTCTTGCTCCCACAGCCCAGTCTGAAACTAGCTGGAACTTTTAAAGGAACTATCCCAGTGTCAAAAAGAACAATGAAGCTGTGTGGGTTTAAACCTCAACTCTATCATTTACTACTGGGTGGCTAGGGCAAGTTCCTTAACCTCTCTGAGGCTCCATTTCTTCATCTGTAATGTGGGTGGGGGGGTAAGTAATCCCACTTTGTCGTGAGGGATAAGAGTGTAACTAGTCATTCAGCTGCCTCTCACTCACAGTCTATGATGGGCCAGGCGTATATAATAAGGAAAAGTGCTGTACGGTGGGGTGCTCTTTGGTTTCGGTAGTGAACCTTCAGGTACATGGAGGCTACTTGCTTCAGGTTTTTGGCCAGTTCACCCACATGCAGACCTTATTCTGAACACAGCTGACAGAAATCTCTTCTCAGAGAATCCCCCCGTAAATTCTTAGGTTCTTTCCTCTCCCATTCCCCTTTTTGCTCCCTCCCTTCAAAAGCCAGAGTTTCTACTCAGGCCCTCTGGAGAAAGCAATGACTCGTGGTTGTGGTTGAGAGTTCATTCCTGAGGGAACAGTGACATTTCTGCTCTTCTTCAGAGCCAACAACATTGAAGAAACTAGTTTCCTAACCCAAGCCCCCATCTTCACACATATGCCATGGCTAGAGTTGAGAGAAATTCTTCACATGGGGTATAGAGGACCATGTCAATCTCAAGTATTTTAGCACCATATTTTATTAGGGTCTCTGACAAATGAAGTGTCCAAAGTGTTGCCCAGGACAGTGTCCAATCTTCAAATTAATGTTAGTAAAGTTTACTAGAAAGCTCCTTGCTGGGCCAGGATTTTGAGGAGGAATGTGATCTCTGTCCCCAAATTCTTAAAGGGCTTTGCCAGAAGCTCCAGAGAATGACACCAGTATTAAGGAGAGGAAGTTACAGAGAGGCAGTTTCTTGCTCAGGGGAAGAGAGGATTTCCAAATAGAGAAGTTAAAATGGTATTGATTTCCTTGTCATACCCAGTGCTTCTCCCAAGTGCATGAATTATAGGGACCATTTGTCCAAGATATCGTGGGCCATACTGATTCATGTAATAATTTGAATTAAAGGTGATTTGTTAAATTTATAGTGAAATGTAATTTGATTTTGTGTCCCTGTTCAGTACATCACCCCAAGGAATAACAAATCTTTAGTTAGATAAGCATGCTGATTTTGGGGGTTTGCAAACAATGGGAGATTCCTATATTAGATGGAAGTTCAGACTCAAAGGATTCTCAGTCCTCAGAGTCTATGACAAACAGGATGCTGGTGGTGACTTAGTATGAGGAAGTGCACAGGAATCAAATAGAGCACCCTCTTTCCAGGCTTTACCACTGAGTGCTGTCAGCTTTGGCCCAAGAGTTAATGCCCAAGCTCTGTAACCTATTGAAATCATTGGAAGGGAGGAAGAGAATAATCAGGAACAAGTGTGAGGTTCATATACTGAACACCTACTATGTGCTTCAGCAACTGAATATATGTGTAACTCATTGTCACAAAGCACTACCTTTCTAAGTAGTTACTAATTAACACTAATTTTTTAAAGATTAAAGAGCTCCTACAAATTAAGAAAAATTTGTAAAAAGTCCAAAGACTCAAATTAAAAGTAGGTAGAAGAAATGTATGGACAGTACATGGAACAAGAAATGTTATCTCTTGGGGCGCAGGTGACTCAGTCAGTTGAGCGTCCAGCTTTTGATTTCATCTCAGGTCATGATCTCAGGGTTGTGAGATCAAGCCTGAGTCTGGCTCCACCCTATGCGTGGAGCCTGCTTGGGATTCTCTCTCTCCCTCTCCCTCTGCCACTCCCCCCATCTGTCTCTTCCTCTCTCTAAAAAAGAAAAAGAAAAAGAAAGGTTATCTCATACATTTGAAAAGATGTTCAATCTCATAATAAAAGAAATTCATTTTAAAATTACAGTGAGCACCACCTCGCATCTGTTAGGACGGATACCATAAGGAAAAAAAATAACAGGTGTTGACAAAGATGTGGAGAAATTGCAACAGGGCAATTGTGCACTGTTAATGGGATTAAAAAATTATGCAGCTGCTGTGGAAAACAGTATGTCAGTTCCTCAAAAATTAAAAATAGAATTACCATATGATCCAGCAATTCCACTTCTGATTATACACCCAAAAGAAATGAAAGCAGGGCCTCAAAGAGCTATTTGTACATCCATGTTCACAGCAGCATTATCACAACAGCCAAAAGGTGGAAGCAACTCAAATATCCATCAACAGATGGATGGATAAATAAAATGTGGCATATATATACAGTGGGGATGTTACTCAGGTTTAAAAATGAAGGAAATTCTGACACCTGCTACAACATGGATGAACCTCAAATAAATTATGCTAAGTGAAATAAGCCAATCACAAAAAGACAAGTTCATTCCATTTATAAGAGGTAGCTAAGTACTTAAATTCATGGAGACAGGAGGTGGAATGGTGCTTTCCAGGGCCTGGGTGGAGGAGAGAACAGGGAGTTAAGTGTTTAGTAAGTAGGGAGTTTCAGTTTTGCAAGATGAAGAGTTCTAGACATGGACAGTGGTGACGGTTGCACAACAATGTAGTTAATACCACTGTACACTTAAAAAATGAGTAAGATGGTAAATTTTATGTTATGTGTATTTTACCACAATGAAAAACTGCAATTACCCTTTGACCCTTTGGTCAAGCCATTTCTACTTCTAGGAAGATAGCTTATTCCCACATAAGTGTTTTGGCGTGTGATCAAGGTTTTTCATTGCAGCAGAATATTGGAAACAGCTAAATGTCCATTGATAGAGGCTGGTAAAATAAATTATTGTCATTCAATAGAATACAACAGAATATGCAACAGTTAGAATGAAGATACTCAGTACATGTGGATACAGAACAATCTCTAAGGTAGTGGCATGTGTGCAAAATTGTGTATAAATTGCTACCATTTGTGTTTAAAAATAAAATGAAAAAAGAATATTGGTCTATGTTTTTCATTTTGTTTTGCCTAAAATAACTGCAAGTAGAGGCAAGAAGCTGTTAACAGGTAACAGTGGTTTCTCCAGTCATGTCTTTGGGGGAAAACTTGATAGCTAGGGCACAGGGTTGGAAGAAAGACTTGCTTTCCACGATTTATCACCTGTACCTTTTAAATTTAGTACCATGTGCAGGTATGATCTATTCAAAAATTTTTAACTAAAAAAAGAGGTTATAGTCTAGAAGGGAAGAAACCTAACAGACGCTTTTAGCCCAAAACTCTGTGCCAAGTGCTATGGGAGTAGAGAGAAAAGGTATCTAGCAGAGCCCAAAGGGATCAGGAATGACTTCTAGACAAATCACCCCCGAGGAAGAAATTTCTGCTACTGGATCACAAATTGTTGTGCATCTTCTCCTGAGCATTGGTTTGTTTTATCCTAATGGACAGATCTGTAAGTTAATTCACTGATTAGGTTTTCATTTTCACTTTGGCTGTTAAAAAGATATAGGCCAAAATTGTGACCTGAACCACGCAGGGTGGGCAGATTTCTAAATGGTAAACATTTAGCATGGAACTTATACCAGGCTCCACTTCATATTCTTGCATTTGGTTTGCTTTTTAGCTGTTTCTATTTTTGGTCATGCTCCCTTATTCTGTGCTCCCCTGTAAGCCACTCTCCAGGCTTTTTGGTCTAAGTTGGAGGAAGTGGGTGAGTGAAGAGGGAGGGAGGGAGGGAGGGAGGGAGAGAGGGAGGGATGGAAAGGAAGAAAGAGAGGATAGAAGTTATAAAGCAATGCCTGCTGTTTTCCTTGGCTCATCATGTTCTCAAAGTGGGCTCCTTAAACCAGCAGCACAGCATCACCTGTGAGTTTGTTGACATGGGTTTCACTGAGTCTACTAAATCAGAATCTCTGTGGACAAGGCCCAGATAATGGCTTTAACATGATCTTCCAAATGATTTTTATGCACAGTAAAGTTTGAGAATCACAGGGAAACCAAAGGCAAGTTGATTTCTAAACATAAATACTCTCCACTTGTCCCATCATACCCATTGTCTTGGTCAAGATAAGTAAGCTCGCTCTTCCAATAAACAATCCCCCAAATTTCATTAGCTTGACACAATAAAAGTTTGCTCATGTCACAGTCCAGTATGGATCACTTTAGGGTAGAAAGAGCTGCTTTATTAATTTGTTCACCAATCCAGCTTCCTTTCATAGTGAGGCTTTGCCATCCTCTAGGGGCTTGGACTCCTCTGAATTCTCTGCATCCAAGAAGGCAGTAGAGGGAGGAAAGAGAGAGAGGCTTTAGTGGCAGGTCTGGAAGTAACACGAGTCTTTTTTTGCCCACCCTTCCATTGGCCAGAACCCAATCACATGGCCCACCTAACTGCAGGGGAGGCTGGGATGTAGGGCGGATCTGTGGAGCTAGAAGGAGAAGGAAATGGCCTTGGTGAACACATAGCATGGTCTCTGCTACACGCATGGGCCTAAGTGATTCCCAAGCTTCACTTGTCATGTTTTGGTTTTTAGTCATTTTCTAATCAAGTTTTATCTTTTCTTTTTTTAACTCTAGCACTATGGGACTGAGTAACACTCTCCTTGTGATGGCCCTCCTGCTCTCTGGTAAGAACCTTTTGGCTTTATAAAGTCCTAGAATCCTTCTATATCTCCCAATGAACTGGCCATGCAAGCCTAGGCCTGAGACTTGGTGGGTTTTATTTATTTTTATCCAGTTTTGCATAATACCACATGCAAAAAAAAAAAAAAGACTTTCCTGGAGAAGAAAGAAGCATCATGATAGAGAACTCGTATCTCAGCTGAGGGCAGGTCTAGCCTGGGATGGTGCACCACCCCTTTGCCATCTTACTCCCATGGTACTGGATGCACAAAGTAGGGTAGACTGGTCTGTCCAGCAGCACCCAGGGAGCTAGGGGAAGGCCCCTGCTCTGACACCCCTGAGGCTTAACTCTTTTGCTCCACACATCCTTCCTTCTGGTCTTCTCTGTTCCCATTCCTGACATTCTCGGGCTTTTAGAAAACAGCTGATGGGCTTCTAAAAGCCTTCCGTTGGGGAGCATTGGTTTCCATATTCCCTACTGTCCTCTCCTCCTCCACAGCCTTCCCTACCAGTTGAGGCCCATAGATCACAGTTGCCCCTGCTTACTGGGAGGATCAAGAACCCCAGCCCTCCTGCTCCCTACTTCAGTGACTGTCAGCTAGGTGCAGCGGCTGACTCACCATAAAGTGAATGAAGCTGGGCTTCAGGGTTTCTCACTTACACAAGCCCTTCCCAAAGTCCCCTCCAAGCCTCCATGAGGGGCCCTAGCAGTGAGGTCACATGTCTTATTCTTTGGCAAAATCTTCATAAGTATGCTATTTTAGCCACAATAGTTGAGACCATGTGTCTTTCCACTGTGACTTTTCCCTCCATCACATTCTCCTGTTGGGTGGCACTGTAGTGGCCACGGGCATTTTGTATTTGAATTCCATATTCTGTCTCTTAAAGAGTACTCCACACACCCCCCCAAAAAAAGAAGTTTTAGAAAGGTCAGCCTCACAAAACTCAGATGTTCCCTGTTTGCTGCTCCTCCCTGAGTTTCAGTTTCTTCATGTATAACCTGGGGTTGGCCAAGGTTCCTGCCACACATCCTGTGACTGGGCGCCTTTAGTTTCAACTCTCCCGCTGCCCCTTTCTGCTGCACATCGTCCCCACCCTCAGTACTGAGAGAGAAGCCATCCCAGTCTTGATATGGGGCACGTGGGGTGGGCGGGGGGTGAGCGTGAGCTTGGCCACGGCAGCAGGCAGGCTGCCACTGACTGACTGGCCTGCCCACGAGTTCACCTCCTCCAGATGGCTACGCACCAGGCCCTCAGCCACTGTCCTGCTGTGTGTGGCAAGGAGTCAAGGCTCTAGGGAGAGATGCCCCTTCCGATTGATGCTGATTGGGTCGGGCCTTTTGTGATTTCTGTTTTCTACTTAGCCCCTTGGAGCTTGTTGAGTCCATGAGCGTGAGGTATATAGATGTGCTAACTGACCACTCCACTAATGGAGTGTCTGTTCTGTCAGAACAGAAGCTTCTACTCCCCAGGGTCAATAACCTGCTAACTGTAGCTCTTGGGGAGGCAAACTGTATGTGTGAGGAAGGGGGTAGGACAGGGCTCTGGAGAACGTTACCCAGCAGAAAGCCCTTCCCATTCTACTTCCTATTCTATTTACTTGACAAATACTTAGATATAGCACCTACTTTGTGCCAAGTACTGTTCTAAGCGTTTTATAAAGGATAACTTATTTAAACATCACAATACCTTGCTTATAGATGTGGAAACTAAAGCCCAGAGAGGTTAAGTAATATGTCTAAGATCAGCATAGCTAAGGAGTGGCAGAGCTTAGATTCACCCCACGCAGTGGAGATTCAGCATCTGTTCCCTTAACCTTGACATTATACTGCTTCTTCCGACTCTTGCTCATGAACTATTCATAAGTGGTAGGATTTGTTCTGTGGAGACCCAAACAACTTTGGTAGATCATGTCACTTATGCCTCAGCCAAGTTCACAGGCTCCTCACGAGCACGTCCATCACCTTCCCTACAGCCAGTACCTCATCTGGTACCATACCTAATGTTTGGGCCCCCACCTTTCTCACTGCAGTGACCAGCCTAGTTCTTTTGACTTGGGAAAAAAATGAAGAGAAATGGCCTAGAAACAAATTTTTAGGAAAGTCTGATACCGTTTTCCCCCAAACTTTCTGACTCTGCACACTGAAAGTGAGAATAAAGCTGAGAAGCCTTATCACAACTGAGTCCAGATGTCACTTTTGCCCTTGCCTTTGAAGTTTCAAAGTACCCTGCCTGGATACTTCTCGGCCTCATAAAAGAGAATTACCAATATTGAAACCTTAAAAATAACCTCCCCAAACGGTAACTGCTTAAGTTTTATGGCAGGAAAAGAATCAGTGATTATATATTTGTCAGTATAAATGTCAAACCTGAGATAGGAAATGGTGATACCAGATTAGAATATCACATTGTCAATACTTCCCATGCTATTAAAACAGCAACAACAAGAAAAACAACAAAACAGATACCATTCTTTTTTAACGAAGGAAAAGAATCAACTTGGATTGTATCTTTCTTCTCAGGACATATCCCTCTGCGTACTGGGCTGGTGAGCACTGACCTGGCCATAGGGAGGCACCCAAGGGAAGAAAGGAGACACAATTGGCCCAGTTAATCCTCAGCAAAAATGCAGGGCTGAATAATTTATTTGATGGCAGAGATAAAACAGTGCAGCAAAATAATTCTGTTTTTCCTCTCTCCCATAGGTTCTGTGTCCTCCCCCAGTCAGGGAACTTAGACATCATAGTTGCTGCCCCTGCCCTTGAGGTGAAAACTGGATTAGAGTTTAAGACTGAAAAGGGCAGGAGGGCTTTGCTGAATTAGGTTACGATTTGTGCTTTGTATTTACAAAGGTAAAGGAATTTCTAAGTGCAACTTGCAGTGGCACCTTTAACCGTCGAGTTCTGTTTGCTGCTAGCCCAGCCCCTCTGTAACTCTCTAAAGCTGGGGCCAGAGTGGAATTTGGAAAATCACTAGTCCACACGTCCGAAGGAAATTCCTTTCTAGTTTGACTTTTGATGACTTTCTGGTTTGACTCTTACAGTCTGGGGGTTCTCTGGGCCATAGTGCTTCCCATTTCTCTTGACCAATACCTCTAGTTCAATAAATGTACCCAGAGTGTCGCTGAAAATCTTTCTTCACTTTAAAATTTACATAAAATTAGCTCAAACCCTCATTCCACATCTTATGGAAAGGTCCGCTGTTTCCCCCCAGATTTTTGCAGGTTCCTAGTGGATGACTGCATGGGTATTATATTTATATGGTTACTTTTACTCCTATTTCCTGCTACTGTTGATAGTGGTTACTAAAATCACCCCCTGGAGGTGAACAGATAATTCAGACTTCATTCCAAAATTCCCAAGGAATTGTCATGAAGCCTAAGAGTTCTCCTATCGGAGTCACTCCTTTGTGGTAAGCTACTGTTTCAGGGTCTTTCGAAATACATGTATGCTACCCAGTAGAGAGTATCTTACCCCCAAAGTAATTAATCATTCTAGTAGAGTGCTTAATAAGTTCCAAAGAGTATGGGCTGTCAGCCCTGATCATTTAGTGGAAGACAGTCACTGAATAGGATAAGTTTAGGGTTGTTTAGAACCAAGAATGAAACTGGGAACAGAGACTTTTTCTAGGTGTGGGCTTATTTTCATTTATCTTGGTACTTAGATTGGTACTTAGAATGGTACTTAGAATGAACGCACTTTTTTTTTTAAAGATTTTATTTATTTATTTGAGAGAGAGAGAACGAGAGATAGAGAGCATGAGAGGGAAGAGGGTCAGAGGGAGAAGCAGACTCCCTGCTGAGCAGGGAGCCCGATGTGGGACTCGATCCCGGGACTCCAGGATCATGACCCGAGCTGAAGGCAGTCGCTTAACCAACTGAGCCACCCAGGCGCCCCGAACGCACTTTTGATCTGAGGACTCATGTCCTGCTCCATTTGAATAGGGAATACAGAGGCTGCAACGGTAGATAGACTACTTCAAAAAGGAGCAAGAGTTTGACAGACTGTAGTTCATTTTTCCCTTTGTGAGAGATCTTAATATCATTTCCAGAATATGTAACTCTGGATTTTGCCACCCCCCTACCCCAGGACTGTTGAGATTTATGGAAACAAAAACAAACACTTCTAGCCCTTACTATATAGGCAAGATTTTTACCTCTAGAGCTTATCTATTCCACAGAGGTGACCCCTCTTATATTGCCAGGACACAGGGCCAAGTTCCAGGACCTCAAAACTATAAAAACAATTTTAACACCCTCTAAGAGTATTTATCCACTCTTGGTTTCATTTTCACTTTCCTTCATTTCTTCTTATAGATGTCTTTATTAAAAAGTATTCAACTCATTTCTCCATTTATTTATCTATTTATTTATTTATTTTCATTATGTTCAGTTAGCCAACATATAGTACATCATAAGTTTTTGTTGTAGTGTTCAACAAATCATTAGTTGTGTATAACACCCAGTGCTCATCCCAACACGTGCCCCCCTTAATACCCATCACCCAGTCACCTTTCTCCATTTAAAAATCACTTTTCTGTTCTTACTATAAAACAACAGGCAAGAGAGTAAAAATAGTTATACATAGTTATGATCACAATATATATGCAATTTCTGAATATGTTTTACTCAACACTGTTTCATACATATTTTCTAAAGTTTCTAAATGATTTTCACTTTTAGAATTTTTGAAATTACATTAGTCCATTGAATTGAAGATGCAATTTGCTTTATTTTGTGTGTGTGTGCATGTGTGTGTGTTTTTTTATTTAGAAGTTATGGCCCCACTGTCTTCTTCAGTTGCTAAGGAGCTTAAATCTAATTGTCATTGTTTTATAGGTATTCTTTCTCCAGTTTTTAAAGAATGAGCTTGTAAGTTTGAAAAAATATTTTATGCTTTATGTTTAGCAGTACCACAGTATTTCTAGGTGGTATTTATTTTCATTTATCTTGCTTGGTATTCACTTTTGATCTGACCACTCATGTCCTGCTCAATTTGAATATTCAC